GGGTCTCAGAAAGGGTCCTGAGGTGCTGAGGGTCTCAGAAAGGGTCCGGAGGAGAGAGGGCCAGCAGGGCTGCCTGGGGTTTGGTTTTGGAGCCTCTGGGCAGGGGTCAGTGCAGGAAGGAGCCTATGAAGGAAAAAAAAACAACAAAAACCAGTTACCAATATATGCATAGGTATTTGTTTATTCATTAGGCACATTCAAATGTCATACTATGTTATGTACACAACGAAAATGTACAAGTATCGATGTTTTTAAACGGGATTTTCATATGCAAAAAACCATTCCTGTTATTTTCTTCCCATGGGCCAGTTGCTCTGAGGAGCCCTGGGGTTTCTGTGCCCGCCGTGCAGAGCACAGACGAAGAACGTAGGCTTTAGAGTCCAACAGACCTGTGTCTGAATCCAGGCCTTTCTTGTCATTATCCGTGTGGCTTTAGGCCAGCCTCTGGACCTGAGATGTTTCTTCCTTTGTCAAATGGGACAGAAAGTCCTACTTTGCTGTGTGGCTCAAAGGAGATGATGGGTCCAGGGCCTGGCAGGCTGGAGGAGCTCGTGTTCAGTAACTATGGCGATGATGATGTGCCTGGGCTTGCCCTTTCTTGTTGAAATTAACGAAATTCAACTCCAAATACCACGGGCCCCACAGGCCGGTTTTCTGGGCTGCCCGTTATCACGAGGGACGACAGGTGCTGAGCCAGCGTAAGTTGGGAGTAAGTCTCCCTTCGCCGAATCCTGTGGCCCCGGAGTCCGTGTGGACTTGAGATTTGGCTCACGTGACGACTGCTCAGGATCCCTGCCGGCTGGGGCTGAGAGGTGGGTCAGGTGTCTGCTTTCTCTGTGTTCTTTTTCAAATAATGGACGTGTCAGCTTGAGTTCACGGGCTGGTCACGGTTTCGATCCCTCCCGAACTTCAGAAGGCAAGTCCATGAATTATACAGTGCTGAAGCAGACGGCGCAAAGTACGGATGCATCACAAGCCGGGCTTAATAAGGACACTCCAGCTATTCTTGGAAGGCATTTGCAAGTCAAAAATATGGTGCACGGGGATCTGATGTCGACTTCAAATTCTGAAGATTTCAGCTGGGTCAGCAGTATTTTATGTTAAATCCCATCAACAAAAAATAAAGCCGTGACGAGGGGGCACTGTACTTTGTTTTGCTTTTAATTTTAATTCCTTGATGATTGCACACATGGTCCAACGGGCCTGCCTCCTCCCACCCCCCTCACCGGCCTACCCCCACCAAGCGATGTCAACCTACATCTGTGTACGTCCACGGACTCAGGGTGGGGATGGAACGTTCCCTTGTCGCGGAATTCGAAAGTATTCCAGCCATTGTGGTTTTGTGCTAAGTAGGGAGAAGATCAAAGCTTCCCCATTTTCTTGCCTTTCTTTCACCAAGATTTTACAGGACCGATACCTGCTATTCGCTATAATGGGTGCGTATGGGTCGTTCGAAGCTCAGTCGAGAAGAAAGAGAAGAGAAACCGGGATCTTCCCATTGACCAAAAAATGGGAACTGAGGCTTGTTGTTTTTTTTTTTTTTTTTTTTAAAGAAATTGCGGTGAAGGCAGGAGAACCACAGTGAATATCTCTGTCTCGGAGGGCAGACTTTCCTAAAAACGCAGATGCTGGGGCCCTGGCAATGCAGGGCTCCGGCCCTGACTTCCCTTGATAGGTTCACACGTGGGTTTGTTTACAAACACAGTACTTAAGGGCAAAGGCAAGCAGTCATCAAGTGTCAGGAGAGGAGGGAGAAACAGAAGCAGGAACATCCAAGGTGCCTCTGTGGCCCTCCTTTTCTGGTCTTTCGTGACAGCAAAGGACCATGACTTTTCTCACTCCCCTCCTTGGAAACTGGAGAGCCAGTAACATCTGTATGTGCACAAAGGCCCGGTGTACCTGCGAACCCTCAAGCGTAGACGCATCGGAGGCAGTAGCAAGGGTATTTATGGCAGCAGCAAAGTGCAGGAACAGCCTGTGGATTGGAAACCTTTGAGGCTGGGAAACGTCCCGGTGCTCAGAGCGAGCACTTCCCAAACTAAGATATGCGGAAGAATCCCCTGGGGATCTGGTCAAAGTAAAGACCCTGATTCTGGGGAGGACCTGAGAAAGTCTCCAGTCATGTTACTGCTGCTGGTTCGCCGAACACGCTTAGGATATCAAGGATGCAGACCGGGTTCGTTCTTCCAAAGCAGAAGTACGTTCAGACTGTTGTGGAATCCCTGGGATCTGGCACCGTGAGGGGGACGTAGAAAGGCCAACACCTGGCTTGTGGCTTCATGTCTCCTTCTAGACCTGTACCCTAGATGGTTGGCCCACTGGAGATGGAGGTCCAGGGATGCCGGACAAGCTGTGGGCAGAGGAAGAGCACCAGGCCATGCGGGAGAAGCACTGGGTTCTCCCGGGACCACCTGGCTCTATTACTCAGCCGTGTGGCACCGGGCGGCCCGCCATAGCTTCCTTTTCCTCACCTGCGTGGGGTGAGGGGGGCTTCCCTACAGCATTCCATAAAATCGAGTAGGGTCGAGATTCAGGGGCTGGATGATGCCCCAGGCAATAGCAGCTGTGGGAAGAGAACCTCATAACTCTGGGTTTAAATCATGGTTCTAGTAACACTGATAGGCCCTTGGGCAATTTTGCTCATTTCCCTGAGCCTCAATGATTAGGACACTGGCTAGGCGACCCGTGAGCGTGAGCCCAAGCAGTGTTGAGAGAGAGAGAGAGAGAGAGATGTGGGCTCTGCCCCACTGCCCTTTCTCTTTCCTTTTGGGGTCACACAGCTGGATCCCCCAAGATCAGACCATGACAGCTTCAGCCCTGCCTGAAACAGGCCTCCAGTCCTGGTCTCCCAACCCAAGCCTTTCCGTGTGAAGTTCTGGAAGGTTGGTCTCAAAGCCCACCTTCTCCCACGATAAGTCTGTCCCGCTCCGGCTTGTCTTAAAAGGGAAGTCAGCCAGTGGAGGGATATAACAGCTCATCTGGGCAAATCTGACAAATAGATAACTTTGCCCATGTTTATATGTCAGTGTTCCAGTGGAAAATGGAGCAGAGCACCTGCTTCCCTCAGGAATACTGCGAGCCCAGGGAGGACACTGAGAGCACAGGTTTGCTAAGCAGCTGTAATGTTTGCATCCCCCTGAGACGTTTCCCCTTCTTTTGTGGAAACTCGTTCATCTCTCTAGGACCCGTTTCTCCGTCTAATAACAGCCCCCATTTTATGGAGGGTTCTGCCCTTCCTCCCTCTGGTCCACAAGGTCTGGTCGAGATTGCAGTCCTTGGAGTGGACCTACAACGCAAGCCTTGTCTAATCAGAACATGCTCTCCTCTGGCTACGGTGATTGGTTCAGTGGGCTTGGGCATGTGACCCTGGCCGGTCCAATGAGAAGGAGTCTCTGGATATTTGCTGGCCATGTTGTTCTCCATCCCCGCTCTCATCCATCACTGCATCCTCGCACTGGTAAGGCACCCTTGTCACCATCTGTTTCCCCTGGTGTCTACTGAGATTTGCCGTCTAGTCTGGCCTTTGGACAGTTGCTCCCTTCCTTGTCGACATGAGCCTTGCTTTCCTCTCCGCCTCCTCTCCATCCCCACCCATCTTGCCTATCCATAGACAACCTCTGACCTTACGGCAGTCTAGCTTCGTCTATCCTTTTTCCAATCTACAATGTATGCCCGATTTCCTTCAGAGCTTTGCTTCTGATGCTAAAAATTAGGCATTTAGAACTTAAAAAGCAGTTCCTGCAAATCAAAAGCCTTAGCTTTCAAGAACTTGTCTCTGCTCTGAGTACCAAAAATGTACTTTGAAATGAAAAGAGTTGACTGTTTCTCTTCTCTTCACATCTCGCATTCCTGATAGAACAATCCTAATCTTTCTTGAGGCAAAGGCACCTTTAAAGAAGCGCACAGGGGCCTGGGAAGTATGATCATCCTGCTGTGGCAACAGGAATATTCTCAGCTCCCTGAGGCCCTTCCAAAGCTCTTGCAGGGGACCAGGAAGAGACAATTGTGGAGTCAGGGCACCCAAATTCTAATCCCAGTTCTGCCACTTAATAATTGCACAGTGTAGAGGGGCACCTCGGTGGCTCGGTCAGCTACGCGTCTGATTTCAGGTCAGGTCATGATCTCGCAGTTTGTGAGTTTGAGCCCCGCGTCGGGCTCTGTGCTGGCAGCTCAGAGCCTGGAGCCTGCTTCTGATTCTGTGTCCCCCTCTCTCTTGGCACCTCCCCCGCTTGCACTCTGTCTGCCTGTCTCTCTCAAAAACAAATTAAAAAAAAAACATTAAAAAAATAATTGCACAGTATAGAGAAGTCACTGAATTTTCCTAAGTCTCACTTGCCACATCTGTTAAATGGGTATTTGTTACTGCACCATAGCCTTGCCTATCCTGACTAATATACTGGATTTGGGATGATTTTGAAAGTGACCTTGTGCAATGGGGGATTTACTGGACTTCAGCCTGTCTTCTTTTCTCTTTGAACTCGTTTGCACAGGGATCTCTGGGATGTTGTGGCTGGAGAGAGACACATGTGGATGGTGTTGGGCACTGGATTTGTCCATCAGAGCTCAAGGAGTCAGAAGTCACTGTGGAAGGACCATGGGGGATAATTTAAGGAGCTCCAAGACCCCATCTCACGGCCGGGTAAGGCCAATGCCAACTTTACAGAAAGATAGAAGATGCTTATATTTATTTAATCACCGCAAATGTCACTATTATCACAGATGACATTAATTTTTAAGAGAAAAGGAAGAAAATATGTTACATTTCTGTTTTGTGCATATGCTGATTGAATGAAAAGTTTATGCCAGATGCCAACTTAAAATAAGGACATATAAATATTTAATTGTTTGTATGTATATGTACATTTCTGTATACACAATATGTGTCACACGGAACACTGGCTCCCAACTAGGGGCCGATGTTGCTTCCCAGGGGACATCTGGCAATGTCTGGAGACATTTTTGGCCGTTCCAGCGGGGGGAGAGAGAATGCCACTAATATCAAGTGGGTAGAGGCCGGGAACGCTGCTAAACACCTTGCGATACACGGGGCAGCCCGAATCTGGCTCAGACGTCAGTATTGCTGAGGCTGAGATCCCAGCGTGGGGAGATGCGTGGAGTACAGGGACCTTTCTTCAGTGTATCATTGACACATCTCCTTGACTTATTTAACATCCCCGTCTTGACGGACTTATCTAGAAAAAAAACCCCACAAATCACAAGCCGGGGGGGGGTTCCTCATGGCCCCTGTGAGACACAGCCTCTGTACTCTTAGGAATACACTTGGAGGCAGGCGCCTCCGTCCTGCTGGTTTCTCCTGATGACAACTGTTGACTGGCACCTAACGTCGTGTGTGGCTCACCTGGCTGGAAGCCCCACCTGTAGAAAGGGAAAGGGAGAGGCAAGGCGGGGAACTGGAGAGGAGGGGGCAAGTCATTTTAGAGCTTTATGAAGCCCTGAGTATTAGCGCGTCCTTTCAATCACTGCCCCCCCAAAGAACCGCGTAGGCATGGTTCGTCTCCATCCGAAGACATCAAGACATTTATAGCTACATGTAAAATGTCTATATACATAAATTTGTGTGCACATGTAAGGAGGCAAAACACTGACTGCCCTCACAGTGGGCACCGAACTCCCACAGGGCATAGGCAGTCCCTGAGAAATTTCCTTGATAAGCCACCGGACCGGAGAGAGACTCTGAAGGCAACGTTGTCATCTGGACCGTCGAATGACAAGCTGGCCTGCTACCGAAAATGGAAAAAAAATTTAACTTTTGCTTCTGGGGGGCCAGGGGGGGGGGG